TTAGAGGTTAGGGGGTTAGAGATTAGAAGTTAGGGGGTTAGAAGTTAGGGGGTTAGAAGTTAGGGGGTTAGAAGTTAGGGGGTTAGAGATTAGGGTTGGGATTATATTTACGGATTAGGATAAGCATTTAGATTAGGGGTGCACCGGAACTCGGTTCCAGCCGGTTAGTTCCGGCCGGAACCCCGATTTTTTAGAGTTCCGGTTCCGGCCGGAACTAATAAAAAAAGCATGGCCGGAACCGGAACTCTGTCGTTTTCAGAGAGATAGAATATCAAACGTTTTTGTGTCTAACAAAAGTTCACAGTAGGAAGAAATTTGGACTACCAAGGGAAATGTACACTATTTAACACTTCATTATGACGTTTAACGTTTGTCAATCTTTTTATTCTAACATTTGCGAGCTCTCTCCTTGATGACTTGAAGTGTCTGGCAGCGGACAAAGTAACATATGACTATATATGGCTTAATAAAGTCCGGTCAGATCCGGTTCCGGCCGGAACTTAAAAAATTGGTTCCGGTGCACCCCTAATTTGGATTAGGGTTTTTGAAATTGTAGACCATTACAATCACCCAATACTTATTGCATACATATATTGGCAAAGTTGACTCAAAAGAGTTATTATCAAGTCGTTCCTACGGCTATAGCTGATCTCTTTGTAAAACGTTTTGTGGGTATAATTTAAGAGAATGAAATTATTTGTCTTTACCAAAAGCATGGACAGAAATGATGAAAAATTTGAACAATGAGACAAGAATTGAACAATGAGACAAGAGAAATAGAAAGTTGCAAACAATTTTCATATTGTATAACTAGTTTAGAATTACGTGATTCAATGTTTTAAATAGAACTTTATTAGTATAATCTAACTATAGATAGATAATTATGTAACCCACAACCCTATCAGCTCTGTCTGTATTTAATTATCGTGGTTAAATTACAACGCCAATAGATTATTGGTTACAACGTGCGGAACGGATGAATAGTTAGCAAGCGAGAGAAAAAGAGGTGTGTAAACATAATACCACATACGAAATAAAATTGAATAATTTGGCGATTAAATAAACTGTGAATTGCCGAGAAAGACCGCTCTTATATGAATCAAAACATGTGATACTTACTGGTAGAGATTTCGTACTCTTTTCCCAAGCTTGAAGAACTCTTACAAGCCCCTAGAATGATAAAATTGATAGACAAATATAAATATAATATACTCCAGTGTTTCAAATCATGAAAATCTCTGCTCCAGCTTGTTACGGCACGTTTGGAAAGAAAAATAGTCTGGTCTAACATTAAGCAGAGCAGTTTCTTACCAAGTGATGGTCAGCGTGTATGTGTGATATGAAAATACAACACAGTTTTCGTAAAATATCATCCAGATTTGGACCATAATGTCTGTATAACTGACCATAACTACCTTCCCCACAGTCTAGTAACATTAATTTATTGGAACTATAAAAACACAAAAAGAATCATATGTCCCTTAGTGGACCTCTAGAGAGAACAGTGCATGTAGAACTAATAGAGATATATCCAGTATAAATAAAGTTAGTTTAGTCTAGGTTTCTTCCGATAGTAACACTGGATCAATAAGAGAGGACTCTTACTGCACCTCTAGGAAAAACAGTTTAGAACTGATAGAGTTATCCAATATAAATTAAATTAGTTTAGTTCAGGTTTCCTCCTGTAGTAACACTGGATCAATAAGAGATGATCCTTACTGGATCTCTAGAAAGAACGTTGTAGAACTAATAGAGCTATCCAAGTTAGGCCACATAAAAAAAATAGTTGGTTAATAGCGTCCTTAGATTTTGCCAAAAGGGGGCAGACAGGCACTTTTTTTTTAATTTTTACTAATTTTTAACGCCTTGGTTTTAGGTCTGAAGCTGGATTTTCTTGTGCAGTACAGATATTTTTTTTATATATTTCAAAATATGATTCATACCGTCATTTTCACATGCAATTTCGCAATTTATTAACACAATTGACTACATTCAACAGAAATACTACATATATTAGAGCCTGTTGATCAATAAAAGTTGGGTTTTTTTAAATAAAAAAAATGCTGAGGCGTAAAAAAAGTACCTGTGGTTCCGGTTTCATATCGTGAAAAAATTAGGGTCGGTAGGTCGGAAATAATTTTTTTTTTGAATATTTTTTTCATGGTTTTGCTGATTTGCAGTCCCGACATCAATATTAATTAACTAGAGGTGCGTATTTGCTATGGACAAATTGAGGCAATTTGGTTCAATAATCATTGTGACAACAGACGCCATTTTGGCATGCTGTATGAGCAGCCCGCAACCACCTGGAGAAAATAGGGTTGCACGGTCAATCGCATTGAAAAAATAATAGGGTCGGCAGAAAAAAATAGGGTCGGTTGGGAACCGGAACCACAGGTATTTTTTTTACGCCTGAGCAGGGCCTTTTTTGTGGGCAGGCGAGTATGCCAACAAACTATTTTTTTATGTGGCCTTAGTTTAGACAAGGTTGCCTCCTGTTGTACCACTGACCCAATGCAGGACCACACCCTTACTGGAAATCTAGGAAGAACACTAGAATACTGTAGTTGTAGAACTGATAGGAGATTGCTTACCTTATATTTACAAGAGTACAACTAACGTTTCTATACTTCGACGGCAATGAAGCTCCTGTCCCCAAAAATACAATATTAAACTCTTTATCCATATCTTTAAAATCACTCACGAAAGTATTACTTGAACTTTCTAAATTTGGTTTGTGTTCGCCATCTGTTCTACATAGAAATTCTTCAGGATTGATAAAGTCTTTTAAAGCGTCTTTAATTTCACTGTCTGTAATGGTCTCTGTTGGCCTCAAGCATCGTAATCTTTCTCGAACTTTCTCAGCTAGTGTGTCCCATTTACTGGAAATATCTGAATGGTCATAGCCCATCTGTGTAGTTGGTCGTAAGTGATATATGAGATAAGGTTCACCAGCAGTCCAGTTGTCCTTGTCAGGACTGTGGGTTTCAATTTCCTAAAGTAAAAAGTGAAAAATAATTTGCCTGTGCCCGATGTGTTTAGTATGTGTTTAGTATGTCTCTTACCGACGAGTCAAGCTTGCAGCGACTTTAGACTGAGGCTAGGGTATTTCTATTTGATGGGTGACCTAGCTCCCTGCCGTAACTTGACGTGCTTGAAATCTGGATGGTTAGGATAAGCGAGGTTAGTCATTTGAAAGCTTCTCCAGAATGGAGAAAATGCCATTCCAGAGACTTTAAATTTCAAAATGTCTCCAGCTAGGTAAGCATGCCCTCGGACCCCTCTAGAACTCTGCGTAGTTCAAAACACTCAAGTATATTATAAAGATTATAAACTATACTTCACCCCCCCC